CATAGAGTAATTTCGGATAGGGTACACCGTCTGCTCGTCACGCTATCTTATTTTCGGCCGGATAGATACATGCAACTTCTTAGTCTAATACCGATCCTAATCTTACTCTTATACTTTCTAGTCTCAGGGTGTTTAACTAGTCTCTGCTAGGCTCAATAGATCTAGGGTATACTGGTTTGTTGCGGCTGCTGAAGTTCTCTTGGAGAGACAACTAATTCCTAAGTTAAATTCAAATCTCTCTGGTGCTGAAATTACAAGTAATTTCAGCACTTGCAAATAAGTGGGTTGTTAGTTAGATGGATCATAATTGGTTAATATTAAATACTTTACAGTGGTAAAATATCTAATTTATCCAATCATAAAATATAGTTTAGATCAGGTTCCAATTTTATTTCAGATTCTTTTTTCTTATTTGAGTAGGTTTTCAGTCCCTCTATGTTTTGTGATTGAGAGAAAAAGTTGAGAAGGCAGCCATAATTTCTAGCTTCAAGACGAATTTACGCAATGGCAACAAAAACTCTCAGCGCAGATACCAAGTTATCATGAGTTATCAAGATATCATAAAATGAAGATTAAAAATTTGGTGTATAAATTTTTTTTCAAATACGACCGATTTAAGTAAAATTTGAAGGGTTTGAAAATTGCCCATTCGGCTAGGTTCGAATCAGTTATATGAGTTTTTTGCTTATAATATGCAATTTTTGAAGTGCGAAGTAGTTAGGTTGATAATTTAGTTTTAAAATTGTTCTGGATTGAATTGAGGGCAGCTACTCGGGAGTATTGATTCCTCTGTAGTCCTAAGTATACTCATTAGCCATTGAATGGCCATCACTGAGAGTTAGTTTCAACAAAAAGCAACATACTTTAACGGTAGCAGTTTACCTAACTGCCGCTGCCCACTTGTCGAATCCCAGCTTTTTGTAGTAATCGCCGGCATTAATCCTTCCTCTCACGTCATACGATACACCGCTAAAAATATTTTGGCACTGAAAAGGCAAGGCAACATCGGGAGAGCCCATTTTGCCCCAAATAATTTTCAAAGCAATTTTCAGGAGATCAAAAGTGTCCTATCTCTGCAAAACTGTCGTGTGATCCCCAATCTTTGCATTTGTACGCTTTTCAATGATGGAAATTTACTGGGCAAAGCAAGCAGTACACGAGTGACGTCGAAAGACTGTAGTTCATTTGTTTAATCGTTGGTGATATATTGGACGCATGAGATCCAAGACATCGCGCTGGCAATAAGCAGTACAAACATCAGCCCGGTGGTGAAAAACATCTAATCAACCTCAAGCTTCTGAGAAAACGTGTGCGACAACTTCAACCCGATATTTTCAACAGTAGGTATGCAAAGACTTGAAACACAGAATTAAAAGAAAACCAAAAAAACTGCACAGACTCGACAAAATTATTGAAGTCGTAAGAAATGCATACACTATTACACTGATGCATTTTTTCTAATATTTCCATTAAAATGACAGAAAAAAAAGCATTTTTTGAATATCAAAAGTCGGCTCTTTTTCCTTTCCCCCCCCCCACCTGCAATTTTTTACATGTGAACTTGTTGTCCACATTGTCCGATTGTTCTGAAAATTTACATACAGACTGATAAGGCCACGACAAACATATTTAGTCCTCATACTCAACCTCGTAAAACTACTCGTTACACTAATATCTTGCAGCTCGTGTGAGGTGGGGGGAAAAGGAAAAAGAGCCCAAAAGTCTTATACAAGCTAACCTAAATCCAGTCCAAAACAATATAAATTTTTTCTTATGGGACTTTGTAAGTCCAGGTCAATAACTCCGAAAATAGGCACGGTAACTGAACAATTGTTCTAGAGTTGCAAAACCATCTATTATAAGTATTTATACCACATTGTTTCGGTTCCAGAAAATGGTGTAAGCCATTGATACTCTTATAGAATTATCTCAAAACATACGAATATCTGGAAAAACAAATAAAAAGATGTTTGGATTTAGAAAAGGTGTTTGTTTATTTTGTTGTTAATTTTGATACAGACTCGGAAATGATGGATTTAACTAGCTCAGTTTTCAGCAGAAACTCAATCGCATCAAATCAGAACACATCAGATCTGTTTTTTTAAGGTTGTTATATGCCAATTTGACAATTGACAACCATCTTAGATGACTTCAACTTTTCACATGAAATCAGGAAAACTCCGGGAAAGAAATTGAAAACCAAAACTCAAAAAAAAATACAAAACTGAATTACCAAACACGTGCAACCAACTAATTTATAATCAAATCAAAGTTCAAAGCAAAAAAGACTCAAGTACATCGTGTAAACTAGAAACGATTACATTTTCGTTTTCTATATGGCACTCAGCTAAATTGCCAGAAACCACACCTATGCTCTACCCCCTGACCAGGCTGGAAGCACAGTTTGTCTTAAGTGCCAACCAAGGATTACTCGTTTTGCAGTTGCTCAAGATTAAAAAAAATCGGTTTAACAATTTGGACTCCCATAGCTGAACTTTGGTATAGGGACGTTAACTTTACGTTTTGTTTATATTACTTTCCGCCTGTTTAGGTATCAGAACGATTTACTATAAAGCATTTGTAACTTTCAATTGCTTATTTTATATCGTTATACTTATTTGAAAATATATTTACCGCTCCATTTTTCTTTTGCTTCGTTCCTTTTTAAGTTTAGGTCTAGCTACCTAGGACAGGAACTAACAAAGTAGGTCAAAACTACGACTGGATACGACATCTACAACAACTGCAACGATCAACTACGACAAACTAGCAATGCCCAACAAAACCACTCTCCCGCAGAGAAATCTTCTCATCGCCCAACTAGAGCGCCTCTTCAGACGAGTACGAAAAGCCATCAATGACATCAAAACAAACTACAACATAGCTGACTCAGAAACCGAGATGAAGAAAATTGTCAGCAATTTGGAAGACATCACTACGTACCTTGTAGACCACCCGACTGAGCACGCCACTGCGGAGGATCTCATTAACCGCTTCACTGATATACAAGACGAACACGACGACATCATGGATGAACTTAGACAGATGCTACAAGAAAACACAGCAGAGACAACTCCACAACAGCACAACACTAATGCCACCACAGTTCAAGCACCCCACACAGGTGATTCAGTGCAACAACAGACAATACTAGACCCGGATCATCAGTTCAGCAAACAGTAGAGGACCAAAACTTTTCAGATAGCCGAGATACTCCGCAGCAAGCCCCCCAGGACAGGTTTCGAAATAGACAGACCACCACTTCAACGAACAGAACACGACACCACCAACGCAAACCTCAGCTTCAACATAGTTACAGAAGAGCAGTTCATTCCAGCAGGAGTATCTCAGACATCAAGTAACGGACAGTCACGAGCAAACTACAGTCTTATGACTAGGCCCCCAAAACTAAAAATCGAGCCTTTCGACGGAAACCCTATGAAGTGGAGCATGTGGTTCGGACTCTTTGAAGCAACAATCCACAATCAAGCCATCTCGGACGCCGAAAAGATGGCTCATCTACAGACTTTAACGACTGGAAAAGCAAATCAAGCTAATTGTGGCTACTCCTGCAATTGCACTATGTCCAACGCTGCCCTCCACGAACTACGACGACGATATGGACGACCCGACATCATCATCAAGGACTTCGTCAACAGACTACAGAGCTTCAAGCAACCATCAACTCATCGCAGGGATTCGTACATGGAATTTTCCACATTCATCAGTAACATGGTGGAAACATTTCGGACGCTTGGGTTCAAAGACGATTTAAACTCTACAATATACGTTCAATTTGCCGTCCACAAATTGCAACACCATCAGCAGCTTCAGTGGACACAGTACATCACCGCCCAGAACATCGACCAGCCTAACCTTATCGCCTTCAACGACTGGATCAGACAGTTTGCATTAGCATGCGGTCACTTACCTATGCAACCGCAGCAAATGACCCTGGACTTGAACGATCGACAACAAATAGCCCCAAGACTTCGACACGCCAACGGATCTCGACCATCAACCAACCAGCCTTCACGGAAGACTTCTCAAAATTGTGTGCGAATACCCGACCCCCATGTCCCTTCGACGGACAAACTCACCACCCAGCATACTGCAGCATGTATCAGAATTCACCTTTGGAAGAGAAGAAGAGACTCGTTTCTGAAAAGAAACTTTGTTTCAACTGCCTTGGCCAACATCAAGTAAAAGACTGCCCATCAAAGCACACATGCAGCAAATGCAATCAACATCATCACACAACTCCACACGACGAACAACGAACACAAAGAACAGCGAAGTTTAATCCAAACCAGCGACCGAATCAAGTCAACCATCTTGCCAGCCAAAAGAAGATATCAAGAATCAACAGCTCACTGCTGCTACTTTTACCAGTAACATTACGACAACGCAACATATTACTTAATGTATACGCTTTTCTTGATACAGGAAGTACAAATAGCTACATATCGCAACCGACAGCAGCATATCTTCAACTGGAGGAAACTAACCATCAAAAACAACTGCTCATTGGAGGTTTTTTCAACTCGCAAACGATAGAGGCTAAGACAGTGGATAATACAGTTCATTCATTTGGAAATAACACTTTAGCGTTTGAACTAACTAATGTTTTAATCAAAGAGAACATCAACTTGAATGCAGCCGAGCCCGAAAAGTTGAACGACATCTGCAGCCAATACGACCACCTTAAGGATATATGTTTTCCGGACTTCAGCAACAACGACGTAGCCCTAGTGATTGGAACGGACAATATTGACATCATCAGCCCAAAGACCATCATCAAAGGAAATCAAAATGTTCCTGGAGCAGTCCTTACAGCCCTAGGATGGACAATAGCAGGACCGAACAACGACATTGGATACTTCTCAAGCCACCAAGCAACAGCCACCCCAATACAGATATCAACTGACGACGCACAAATCTCGGATCTTCTCGCCTCATTCTGGTGAATGGAAACCTATGCCACGTCACCTGATATAACGATGTCATCGGACGAAAGACACGCTATGCAAACACTTCGGAAAACCATATCATTATACGACAACCGCTATCAACTTGGACTTCTGTGGAAACCAAATGCAAATTTTCCCAACAACTATAAAGCAGCAATTGCCCAATACAACCGGATGAAAATACAACTTAACAAGAATTCAGAAAAGTTGGCTCTCTACCCGAATACAATTGACCAGGATCTCAGCAAGCACTACATACGGAAATTAGAGCCAGACGAAATAACTTCGACAGGATGGATTTTACCTGAACATGGCGTAATCAACCCAAACAAGCCAGGAAAACTTCGCCGTGTTTCCAATGCCAAATCCAAATTTAAAGGAGTTTGTCTGAATGATATGCTTTTCACTGGACCTGACTTGCTCTGCAATCTACTAGGAGTAATTACCCGATTTCGCAAAGGAAAGCATCCTATCACTGCCGATATTGAAGGGATGTATATGCAGGTTTCTGTTAACCCCGAAGACAGAAAATTTTTTCGTTTCCTCTGGGGAGCGGAAGAACCCAAATTTTTTGAGTACACCCGATTCGTCTTTGGAGCCAAATGTTCTCCTACTTGTGCAATTTACGCATTAAGAACTTGCGCAGATGACAATGCTGAAAGCCATCCCCACATCAAAAAACTTGTCTACGAGAACTACTACATGGACGACTTCTTCGAAGCCACCGACGACATCGAAACCGCAGTGAAAATCATAGAAGACCTTCGACACGTACTACAACAAGGAAGCTTCAACCTGACGAAGTGGATCACTACGGATCATAAAATTCTGCAAACAATACCAGAGGAACATAGATCCATCACTATAGACGAAATCAAGGACCCCAAAAACTTCAAGCGAATTCTCGGAATACGATGGAGAGTAGGTAACGATACACTCAGCTTCACTACTGACGATCTCGCCCAGAAGAAACCTACACAACGGAACCTACTTCGCGTAGCTTCCTCAATCTTTGACCCAATTGGAATAGCAGCACCTATTACGATTCGACTACGAATAATCCATCAAGCAATTTGGAGAAAAGGAATGAAGTGGGACGACCAAATTACACGAGAAATGATACCTGAACTGTTCGAGCTTCTCGACGAGAGAAACGATCTACAGACAGTTGAAATACCCCGACACTATTTTGGATACAGCTACGACAACATCGCTCTTCATGTTTTTTCAGATGCCTCCTACAGCGCCCTTGCAGCAGTCGCTTATTTTGTATACAGAAACAGTGCTACTCGGCAAATCTGCAGCGCCTTTGTTCTAGGAAAAGCTCGAGTGGCTCCTCTAAAACAACAAACAATAACTAAATTGGAACTACAAGCCGCAGTTTTTGGTGCTCGCCTCGCAAAGTTCATTCGCAGAGAACAAAGGATTGACATCAACTCTACGCATATGTGGACAGACAGCACAACAGCGCTTCAATGGATACAGTGATCTGATAAACGACAACAAATTTTTGTGGCTCACAGAGTTGCAGGAATTTTAGAAAGCACCCAAGCGAGTCAATGAAATCATTGCCCAGGACCCCTAAACCCAGCAGACGACGGAACCCGTGGAATACCCCTATCAGAATTCAGTAACAAGTCAAGATGGTTCACCGGACCAAAATTTTTTAGCAACTGGCCAAAGCTACAGTTAACCGACGCCAATAAGGATGCCTTGCAACTCAACGATCAAACTGGACAATTGGATGAAATAGCAACAACCCCAATGCTAACTTTTCAAGCTTCCACCTAAAAGACAGAACAAAGCTTCATCGATTACAGCAGATTCTCCAAATGGACAAGAATTCTCAGAACAACTGCATCCGTGATGCGTGCCGCCAGGATTTTTAAAGATAAAGGACTACAGTCCCGCAACCAAAGCCCGACCACCGAACTGACAAGCAACAACATGATTGCCGCAAAGAATTTTATCTTCAAGCAGACGCAACGAGACAGCTTCAAACCAGAGGTCAACGCATTGACACAAAATAAACGAATCAACACAACTAGCAGACTTCGACACCTATCACCAGTTCTAGACGAAGACGGACTCTTGCGAGCACGTGGACGCCTCGAGAAATCTCAATTGGACAATTGCATAAAACACCCGATTATCCTTGATGGAAACCACCCAGCAGTTCACCTCTTTATAGGACAAACCCACAAAGACAACCAGCATTCGCCACGCCAGCACTTGAAAAATATTCTTCAAAACGAGCATTGGATTATCTGTGTTCGCGCACACATTGACAAGATCATAAGAAACTGTCACGACTGCCGACGACAACAGGCAACTTGATTACAGCCGGAACTTGTGCCCCTACCCGCCTTCAGATTTCCAGAAGATAAACCCTTCCCGTTTCAACAAACAGGATTAGATCTCTTTGGACCGTTTGCTTCGAAAACAGCAGGAAACTACAACAAACGCTACGGCGTTATAATGACTTGCCTAACAACACGAGCCGTACATTTTAGGATGTGCCAGGACCAATCAGCCGACGCCTTCATCAATACCTTACGACGATTCTTCGCTCGCATAGGACAACCAGCCAAAATTGTTTCTGATACTGGTACAAATTTCACTGCAGCCGAAAAAGAACTCAACAGACACTTCGAAGCCGATGTTACACGACAATTCTACGCCAACCATCAGATTGAATAGACCTTCAACCCTGCCTATGCTCCTCGTTTCGGAGGAAGCCAGATTCTAACAGACGACATATTCAACACCGTTCTTTGCGAAGTTGAACACTTCATGAACGCAAGACCCATCACTACAGTTTCAGCATCGCCCGATGATGTTAAAGACCTCACCCCAAATAATTTTCTTTTCGGGAGAGAGCATGCCAGCATGCCACTTCTACAAACCCAACAGCCCTCAACACTCAGTCGACAATGGAAATTCGCCCAACAACACGCAACCCATATTTGGAAACGCTTGATGAAGGAGTTTATCCCAACACTACTGCCAAGACAACGATGGACAACAAAGAAGACGCCGACTATCAAATTAGGAGAAATTGTCTGGATTCTTCAGGATATGACGCCACGAGGACTCTGGCCAATTGGACGGATCACAGGAAACAAACCAACCGATGATGATCAGATCCGCGTTTACTTCGTCAAAATAAGAGACAAAATTGCGTCAATACCAGCCATTAGACTAGCACCTGTTAGTCCGGATCATTGCAATCAACCAGCAAACGAAGATTCACGACAATGAGAGCCTCACCCCAAAGCAGCCTTGCGCCGACAACCATAGCCGATAACTTCAACTGACGCTTAAACTGACCGTTAAGCCAGCGTTTTAAGTTTTATAAGTAGGAACTACCCCACCCCTTTTTTCTTAGTTTATTTTGCAACTGCAAAATGAAGCCGAGTGTTATATGCCAATCTGACAATTGACAACCATCTTAGATGACTTCAACTTTTCACATGCAATCAGGAAAACTCCGGGAAAGAAATTGAAAACCAAAACTCAAAAAAAATACAAAACTGAATTACCAAACACGTGCAACCAACTAATTTATAATCAAATCAAAGTTCAAAGCAAGAAAAACTCAAGTACATCGTGTAAACCAGAAACGATTACATTTTCGTTTTCTATAAAGGTTCCCCACCCGATCGCTCGTCATCATAAAATACTTGGTTGCATTTATTGCCCTTTGCAAATACCTTTGATAAAATTTCTACGCAATACAGCTCTAACAATGAAAAATTATCTCATATTTTAGAAAAGAAAAAATTTGAATGATTGAAAACAAAAAAAACATCAACAAAAAAATCAGCTCAATTCACAAAATTCAAAAATGTATGCGGTTTGATTTGAATCGCTGAACATAAGGAAAAGATTCGGAGTGCAGTATGAGCGATGTATGAGCAAAAAAGGGGGGCTGGAGACAAAATGTTTCAGATTCTCTAGAGTTTCATTACCAATGAGGAAAACTGTGAGTTCAGAGCATTCAATAAAGGTATACAGAAAAGGAGTAAAACCAATAGTTTAATTTGCTGTTGTGTTAAGAAGAACAGCAAGCATGATTTTTTACAAGTTGAAAACGTATAAATTGAGAATTTTTGTAGAAATAAACCGCAAAAAACCTCAAATTGTCTCTATAAACAAAATTAATCCATTTAAAATTACGTCTAATTTAAACTGGAGACTAGAGAAAATTCAACTACATAGTGAGTTAGGACCGAGGTGTAACTCATAGAGTAATTTCGGATAGGGTACACCGTCTGCTCGTCACGCTATCTTATTTTCGGCCGGATAGATTCGTGCAACTTCTTAGTCTAATACCGATCCTAATCTTACTCTTATACTATCTAGTCTCAGGTTGTTTAACTAGTCTCTGCTAGGCTCAATAGATCTAGGGTATACTGGTTTATTGCGGCTGCTGAAGTGCTCGGGAGAGTCCAACTAATTTCTAAGTTAAATTCAAATCTCTCTGGTGCTGAAATTACAAGTAACTTCAGCACTTACAAATAAGTGGGTTGTTAGTTAGATGGATCATGATTGGTTAATATTAAATACTTTACATTGGTAAAACATTTAATTTATCCAATCATAAAATATAGTTTAGATCAGGTTCCACCCATCCGGGTTTTACAGAGTTTTTTAGAACAGTTCTTCTGTAATTCAAGGATGGATGATGGACGTTGGTATTTGGCGAACATCATTTTTCTTTTGTTTCCTTTTTGTTAAGGAAGTTCCAGGGATCTGGGATTGAGGACACAAGACGTTGTGTTCTTCTTGTGACAACGACTGAGTCTCTGCAACAGCATCAATTCTGGTTTCAGAATGGTTGGCTATGTCAGGTTTTTCTGTTCTTCGGAAAGAACTTCTTTTGTGTTTGATCTAGCTCGGGAATGGCGTGGAGATTGTGCGTGGAGGGGATGCCTGGTTACTCGGATCTGTACGTATACTTGAACATCGAGGTGGTCATTGGTCTAGTTCAATGAAGTCCTTTTCTGCGAAGTCAAGTCGTACTCTAAATCCTTTGAGTTGTGATTGTGAGCGGCATATCGATTGTAGTTGGTCATTCTCTCTCGAGTGTAGTGAGGTCGTCTTGTCTTTTGATGTTCGTCCTTGGTGTTGTATTCTGATCTATATATTGCATCATGTAATTTTACATTTTATAAATCTTTTATTAATTTAGTATTTTTTAATAATGATTTTTGTTAGTTGTTTTCACAAAAGCTTTTTGTTTTAGTTCGGTTATTTTGAAGAGTTACTCACCCTTGAGTAGCTCTTATTAAAAATAAAGGTGTGGTCACAAAGCGTGGATGTAGCACGGTGGGTTAGGCCGGCTATAGAGCATGCTCAGGACGTCCTTTCCTGGTGGGTTAGGCCAGGTGTGGGAGTATGATTTCATGCGGTTTTTATGAGGGGTCCTGTTATGTGACAACATTTTATGTTGGGTTTGTTGTGGTTTTACTTATGTTTTGTTGGTTATGTACTTTTACTAAAAAGCGAATTGTTTGTGGTATGGGTTTGTCTTTTGACTTTTTTGTGTTTTATTATTTCTTTCTAAGACTTTGTAATAGTCTTCAAAAGAATAAATTATCCAGTTTTAAACTGGGTTAATCCGGTTTGGGTACCGTTGGTTTCCTTTTCTTAGTCATGCTGTTATTTTATGATTTGTGGTATTTAGTAAGCTGCGTTGGTTAGTTTTGTTTAGTATATGATTCCTTTCCAACCGGGTTAAAGGAAAGTTTGAAACTTGTTATTATATGTTAGAGTTGTTGAGTGTGAAAACTTGAAACTGAAATTCATTATTTTAAACAATTCTTCGTGGGCGAGCTGTGCGAGTGTGGATAGAATTTCTGTGCGAATGAATGAAAATATCAAAAGGTTAGTACTGCAATTGCATTTTATTAATTTACTGCATAGAATTTGGAAATTTACTGCTAGTAATGGGGGAATTTTAAGATACAAATTTTCATCATATGTAGAATTACTGCTTTGGGGGAAAATTTTATAAATTAATTTACTGCATTGGTATTATATTTATTTAATTGTTGGTGCAAAAGTTAAAAGGGTCTTAAACAGTTTTGAAGAAGTTTGCTATTTTTTATTTTTCTTTTGTGAATTTTTCAGATGATCGAAGATGAAGGCTAAAAATCTAAAGAAAACATGAATAAAGAATGGTGAGTTTTTTAATATTTTAATTAGTTAGTAATATTCATTTAATTCATACTTACCTGTTAGTCGTCGGGGAAAAAACCGTGGGGGAAGATGTCGTGAATTAGTTCTGAAGTTGTTAGTAGTTTAGCTAAGATGCGGATGATATTTTTAGTTTGAAGCAGTGGCCAAAGCAATTGAAGTGCCTTAATAGTGGTTAGTTCTTCAGTGCCTACTGCAAACTCATAAGGTGTGTTTTGGATTAAGTTATATAATTTGTGGTTAAATTTAGTGTTGTGGATGAATTCTAAAATTGGGATCTCTATAGG